CCCGAGTGTACGGTGGGATTTGGGGGCTACAACAACTTGATTCTTGTAATATCCTGCACGTCGACACCCAATTGCCCCTGCATTGTCCTTCTCGACGACCATCCCGGACTCCATGCTTATCCTACGCTTATTCGATTCCCTGCTTATCCATAGGTTATCCTTAGCTTATCTATAGCTTATCATCTTCCAAAATGATAAGCTAAGGATAGCAAACACCCCCCCCCCCCCTCAAGACCCCCCCACTCCACTTCATGACCTTAAGCCCCAAGGCCCTAAACACTAAACCCCTTCAACCCGGAGACCTACACCCTAAACTTCAAAACCACCTCAACCCCCAAACTGTAACCCTAAACCCCAAGACCCGTAAAACCCAAACCCTAAACCCTTCTATAGCAAACATGCCTTGGAGCATAATGTGTCTGTGTTCGTGCTGGACCTAGGGTTTCGGTCTCAGCGCTGTAGGGGCCCCTACACCCTTAAAGGGCCCCTTAATGGCCCCTACACCCTTAAAGGGTGCTTTAGGGCCCTACACCCTGAAAGGGTACCTTTTTTGGCTCCTGATGGCCCCTGCACCCTTAGGGGCCCTGTGCATGACTGTTAAAGACGTGATTCGAACAACCATGGTCTCCAGCTGTCGTCAAGGCCTCGCAGGCAGGACGTTTAGGGTCTAGGGCATCCATCCATGGGCGCCAATAAGTTTTGGGCGACTGTTTTGACCGAATTTGCTGACTGTAACCCTAAACCCTAAACCCTAAACCCTAAACCCTGAACCACCACTTGATTCTGGGAGTTGGTGGGCCGGGGGCTGGGCTGCGGCTGTGGTCTGGGGATCCGTGGGCCGCGCTAAAACCTGTTTTTGGAATTGTTGGAGGGTTTAGGGTTTAGGGTTTAGGGTTTAGGGTTTAGGGTTTAGGGGTGGGCTGACTTGCTTCACCCTGAAACGGAAATGGGTTTATTATCCCGAAAGAAAAATAAACCCAAAAAATAAGTTTCTGGATGGCCAACAGCAACAAGCAATTTCTAATCATGTCTTTCTTGAGGGTTTAGGGGTTAGGGTTGTCAGTTGAGTGCTGGAAGTCTCTGGAAAAGCTCCCTACAACAGCTCGAGGAACACAGCGATCGAAATGGAAGTAGCAATGGTAGAGTATTGGTTGTGGTAGTTGGTGTGGTCGTACCGTTGTGGACATGACAATAGCGACAAGAGGGAAAGGTGCCGGTGGCAGAAGCGAACATATGCTTGTACGGAGCAGCCATGGCTGTGCCCATACCTGTCACAAGAAGCTCCTACTTGCAGGCGCCAGCTATTTGGGATGTTCCGGAAATTAGGGGTACCTTATTTTGGGGTCCTTATAACCAGGATCTACTATTAAGGGTACTATATTAGACTCCCCTTTTTCGGACAGCCCATTTCAGAAGCAGTTCGTGAGTGCGAGAATTGAGGTGAACGCCCTGCACGAGTCAAACCTTGGGCTGGCCCCCAAAACCGGAAGCCCTACCTTAAGAACCCGAAACCTAGTTTTTGTAGGGTCCCTATAAATCCCATATTAGGGCTTACAGTAAGAACCTACAAAAAAGTGGGTTTGGGGTTCTTAAGGTAATGCTTTAGGGAAGAACATGGAACCCTCCGGGACGCCGAAGCCTGCAAGGCCTAAGCTGCCAAAGCTACTTTTAACCCAAGCACACTCCTAACCCGAACTCCCGATTCGCTCTACCCTACAACCTAGTCGCCCCCCCTATAAACCCCATAAACCCTAAACCGTGCCCAAAGCCTATCCCCTAGCCCTTCAAAATCCCCAACATGTCAATGTACAAGTCAGCTGAGCAGCCGAAGTCCAGACCAAACAGCTCCTTGAGGCTGGGCATGCTTTGGCACACAAGCAAAGCAAAACATGTTGGGGGCCCTTATAGCTAGAATAAGTTTTCGGAATATTACAGAGAGAATAATGAAGGTACACCTTAGATATTATGTCTAAGAACCCTGTTGAATGCATACTTCCGTCAATAGGGAAACAACGATTCCTAAGGAACTGCCAGACTAAAGAAGGGCGATGTTGGAGGTTCACGGCGTGCTTTGGAGGTTTCAAGGGTCTCAAGATCACTTACAGGTTTTCAGGGTGCCTGCGATTTTTCCTTTTTGGGGGAGGGGGAGGGAGGGAGTTCGGATTTTAGGCCTAGGGATTTTGGGTCTGGGGAATTTGGAGAATTTGGGATCTAGAACTTGGGGTTTCAGGGATTGGGGAACGGCGGGTTTCGGGCTTTGACGGTCTTGAATTTCTGGTCTTCGCGTTGAAGCCAGACCTAAATACCATAAAGCCTCAAACCCTACTGTTGATGACCTATACCAGCATTACCTAAGGACCCTACCCTGTGAGAATTATGGTATATTCCTTATTAAGGGTAATGCAGGATTTTTATCATCAACCGTATCAGTATCAATCCTCAACACAGTGGCTTTAAACCTAAACCCTAAACCCTAAACCCTGAACCCTAAACTAAAACTTTCGTGCGGAGGAGCAAAGGCCGACGGGGACGACATCTTCGGCTTGTCCGAATACATGGCCTCGGGTGTAGGGCTTGATTCAGGGGCCTTAATAGCTAGAATAGGATGTTGGGGTATATTATGCTATACTGACTACAATTTGTAAAAAGGAACAACCCCTAAACCCAACAGCTAAATGCCGAAACCCTGAAAGGGTTTAGGGTTTACGATTCAAAGCTACAGCTTCCCACAGCACCCAATACCATTTAATTTAAGCAATACATGTTGAAATGTACACCGTGGTTTGCTAAGGTTGGATATCTTTTTAGAGGGGGGGTTTCCGAAAATAGGGGACCCTAATATAGTACCCTAAATAGTAGGATCCTTATTATAAGGACCCCAAAACAAGGTACCCCTAATTTTCGGAAACTCCCATGTGGGTCCATGGTTTTGGGCTCTCTGGGTTCGCGGACGTGGGGCGCGAAAGGACTTAGGGCATCAGGGGGTCGGAGATTGAGGGCTTGATGATGGGGCTTCAAGTCTAGCTAAAGTATATTGCCACAGACTATAAGGGACTAACAGAATCTCATAAACCCTTAGGAGCCCGTAATTTCAACAAACGCAAGGGGCCCCGGATGTTGTGTGTTGAATCCCTAGTACCCTAAACCTTACCTTAACCCCAATAACCTACCTAATAAGGACTTAAAGAAGGAAATCATAAAAACGAGCCCTAAAAACGTAGGTTGCTTAGGGTCCAGGTAAGCCCGAAACCCTAAACCCTAAACCCCTACAGTGCAAAGCATAAAGTTGATGTTGGAACGGGTCGCCGGTCTTGTGGCTAGCAAAGCTGCACGGACGGCATCCAAAAGCCTCCGACGGCCCATTGTAGTGCTTTGGTATGCTTTGGTAAATTATAGGGTTCTACAGAGCAGGGTTTTAGAGAGTTGTATACGGCTTATGGGGCTTTATAAGGTTCTACAGTGTTTTACAGAGCTTTGACAGGGTTGCGTTGTGGGTTACAAAGCTTAGAGTCTCCAAGTTTAGGGTTTGGGGGCCTTGGATTTCGGGTGCTGCGGGGTGTTTCAAAGGGAGCCTAGGAATACAGGGTCCAACCTACGAAAAGCAACCGACCTTATGGCGAGCTTCGGTCTTCGAGCAACTGACTTGCCATGTAGCACTGGGGTATCTGGATATCAAGGCAGCATGTACAGCACTCGTGCCATATTCCAAGGCTCCAGCTACCCACGTTTTGCGATATGCTAACTTCTGTCTATTGGCATGGAAGCTTCCCCCTAATCTGCTGCAGCCTGTCTGTATGCCAGTGGGGTTGCAAGACATAAAGCCAAAAACCCCCCTAGAACCCGACACACTAATTGGAACAAGAATAATCTACGATCATACAATCCGCAACAAGAACATTTGCTCACATTATACGGAACCCAAGTTATGTCCCAACCATTGGGTACTATGAACTCCGAAACTCGGCCAACCTCCTACAAAACTGTATTAAACCCGATAAGTATGAAAGCCACTTATAACAGTCTGTGAAAACCATGGAACTCTCAATAGGTACTGTGGGCACACCTTGAACACGATACACTCCGTTTTGGAACACTCAATAGGAGCCTTGATGGGAAATCTAACCCTAACCCTGAAGCCTCAAAGACTCCGCAATCGGAGCCCTTGATGGAAAGCTTACAGGATTCCGTGAGGGCACACCCTGACCCGAAACCTTAAACTCCTCCAAAGCCCTAAACCTTTCACCCTTCCTTGGCCAAGTGTAGTTCTGCCACCGCTCCGCTGCAGTGGGTCCCATCTGCTCAAAGAGGACCTGCGCACTTAGGTTTAGGGTCTTCTCGGAAGGATTCCTTTCAAGGGTGCCTTCAAGCGTTCCATGAAAGGCTGCCTTAGCGCCCCTTGTAGGGGTACTATAAGGGCTCTTTATGGGTAACTATACAGTACCCTTTCGCAATATAGCTGGACCTCTTAGGACTTCGGAGGCTTTCATAGGTTTCGAACACTCGGCTTTGTAGGCTCCTT